TTACATATCTACATGAAATGACTCCTGAGGAGTCGTTTTTGAATTTCTCTGCCTTTGTTGCCAAGAGAAACATCATCTCCAAGTCTGGATACTGTGTGTTCCATTTCTCCCATCATTCCATCATATAGCTCTATATTCTCATCGAGAGAAATTTTATGAACTATGCACATATTATGTAAAACAGCTCAGGCATTAATTATTAGTCCAGCCTTATAAGGTGAATAATTTAACACCCTGTGCTTGTGCAAACATCTGAATCGGGACTTTAGAAGTCCATTACATCTTTCTACAATAATTCTTGTTGATATTAAACTGCTATTATACTTTTGCTCATTTTGTTGCTGAGCATCTAATATAGGTGTCAGAAGCCATGGTTCCATTGGATAGCCACTATCACCTATAAAAAGAAATAAAACAATTTTGATAAATGAATTTTGCCATACTTTCATATATATATATTATATTTATTTATTTATTTATATATATTATATTGTATATGTGTGTGTGTATATATTTATAATAAAGTGAAATGAAAAACATAGATGTTAATAAAGATAGTTAAAATATATTATAAAATAAAGACAATTGACATACGATACAAAAGATATTGTGTAACCACAGTCTTCTGCCTTGTTTTGATTAAACTTTTAATATTTTTACTGTTCTATTTACATATAATAAATCAAATATTCTAAACTTTCTAATAAATAACTAAAAATAAATCAACTATTACTCGATAAACATATATGAAGAATTATTTATAAAAATCTAACAAATATGCTATATTCAATATCAAAAATCTGTTGGTTTAATTTTACTAACCTTATTAACCAAGCATTATTATTTGTTTGAATTCTTCCCTCTATAAAAGCTCGTCTTAAGTGGCAGCTTTTCCATATAAACGAATCATGTGCTGATCCAGGAAATTTTGCATTAATGCTAATTATTTTTATGTTTGAATCACACACCTGACAAATAATGAAAATATAATAATTCATTGTATTATTTTCGTGTCACAAAATGATATTTGTAATTCAATAACAAATTTGATAATTTATGAACTAAAATCATTTAAAATATAATCAAAAAGTTAGTTTTTTACTTACTATTTGGATATTTATGGAATGATATCCCTTTCGATTGATATATGTAAATTCCTTATGATCGGGATCATTAAGTGATGGTGCAATTATAGGAATGTGAGTTCCATCAATAGCACCTATCACTCCCGGAAAGCCACCTAAACTCATAAATATTTGTTTGACCAATGCCATCTCAGTTTCAGAACTTGGAAATTTTATGTAGTGATGAGGAAGGATAACGTTTATTGCCTCGCTTACTGCTGTTATACAACGGCTTACCGATAGCTGGCTAATTTCTAAAGTGTTGTCTTGAACTACTGGATTCTGATAAGAACCAGAAGCAAAAAGTCTAAGACCTACAAGAAAACAAATTTAATAAAACTATAATGCAGCTCACAGATATATATTATATTTGAAAAAGTTATCCATAAAAATTTTTATAAGCATACGTATATTCAAATTCATATTGTTATACTAGCTGTTACCCGCGACTTCGCCCGCGAAAATTTTGCAAGCAAACCCCATTTATATTCAGTATTTCAACAACCATAGTAATTATTATATAACACCTACCGCTGAGAATGATGAGAATTGCCGAGATTCAAATGAACTATTTTCAATTTGATCAATTTTCTGGAACGTTTACAATCGTTCTATAATCGAACCAATATGCAATAACAAATTCGAATTTAAAACGGTTCGAACATTTTTAAAATCGAAATACATAAAAATATTTATAACAATGTCTGAAATGTTATTAATTTAATACACCTAAGTACTCGATGAAGACTATATCCTCTTCCTCTTCCCCGCGGGGGAATTTCGAAAAATCCCTTCTTAGTGTGCATTGCCATGGCCTACCCTACTAAAACGCAGATAAAAACAAAAAATCGCATCTAAAATAGTACAGTA